AAAGGTTAATTTATGAGTCCTGATTTGAGTAGATTATAACATTTTCATAAACATTGAGAAAACGATTCGTATTGATTATGAAAAACCCTGCATGTTAGTAAGGGTTATTAAATAATGTTTTTTTATTTTTTATTCATTGGTATTGAGATAATAGTTGATTTGGAACAAAAAGACTTCATCTATTTAACTTTTATACGTCCCACATGCCATGGCTCCAATCTTTTATATTCCAAATTGTTGACATAAGTTTCTTTTACATTTTTGTTTTTTATATGTATAAAATTTTCTTTGCAAATTCACCTATGATTCTGTTTTCCTGATTAAATTACAGAAGAAAGCCTTTCTGAAAGATTTTTTTCTGAAGATCAAATAGGCAATCAAAATCTACTTTTTTTGTGGTAGGAAAGTTTCTTTAAAAAAAAAGCTATTGATTTTGATTGCTTAAAAGAGGAAAGAGAAACTGCAATTGCTTCCACTTTTAATTGCTTCCCATTGTTTGAATATTCCTTTCTTACTGTTTTTTTTATAAGTTGAAGTCTTTGTAGAATGATTTTTAAATTCTTCGTGTTTGTTGTTACTTTCTATGCTATTCAATTGATACGAATTTTTAATAAAAAAATAATGAGGTATTTTTTTTAAAAAAAAGAGAGAAGTATCAAAAAGTGAAAATTTTAAAGAAACATTCTTTAAAGGTTTAGGGTTCATAAGTTCAACATAATTATGCAATTACGAGTTTGCTGAGGGTTTGCGCAGATTTGTGTCAAAATAGATTGAAGAATTTTGATGTTTAAAAGTGCCTAAAGTCAACGCTGTTTCTTAAGAAACATTACTGCACTGATATGTTAACATCAGCGTTTTGTCTGTTATGAGATTTCTTTTATAATAGTGTGGTACTGTTACTATAAAATAGAAAGTCCTATCGCCGAAAAACAAGTTTTTTCATCTGCATCAAATAAATCTTGTTGTTGTTACTAATGCCACTTGTCAATATCAGCAAGCCTGCTATGGGAATTTAAGCGATTTAAATGCAGATGGTGCAATTTTTGTTTTTCTCAAGTGACGCCATCTATGGACGACTTCATACACTTACACGTCACAGCCCGTTTTACAAGGAGGACCCATTCATACTCCTTTCATTCATTCATTCATCCACAGATTGAAATTTTGACCGGAACCAAAGAACGTTAAATTTCCAATTCCATACCCCCAGAGATATTGATTCGTTATGGTACACTTTGTGACCTCAACAGATTTAACGTGGGCCAGTCACCATTTTTAAACGGCAATCTTTCGGCCGGCGGGATTCAAACTCACGATCTCGCGAGCATGACCCCAACGTCCAACTAAACAGAATATCCCAGTCCTTCAAATAAGTCTTAAAAGTTTTGACCCCTAAAACTCCCATTATGGGAATAATTACGTTTTTTTTTTACTGGGTCACCTCATTGAAGGCTAGCGTTCTGTCTCTTGGACCAATACAGCTCCATCAGATAGACAGAGCTATCTGAGTAATTACATCACAATCATTGTAAATCTCCAGAGGATAAAAGAGAGAATGCGGAGAAAAAACATCATCGGTTAATTTAAATTTTATTAATGTATCACTAATATAAATTATGATAAGATGACTAAATATAAATTATGATTATCTTACATTAATTTTTATGAAAGTGTACGAAATATACTCTATTAAGTGAAAAAGATTCATGAAGTATTTAAATTTTGTAATGAAAATAAGCATGATGAAAAATTGGAATTTATGTTTTCTATTCTCTTTTTTTAAACACAATCCTTAAAAAAAAATTCTTTTAACTTTCATCACGGAAAATCGTTTATAAACAAGTCATTCTCAATATCAGTCAAAAGTTTATTNTATTTTTGCCAAACGATCGCCAAATAGCAACATTGTTCAAGTTTGCTCACAACCTTCTCCCAAAAATGGCGAAGTATTATCGTCGCATACCACGTGATGAAGGCGGAGCCAAGTGCCAACTCCTGGTGAACGAGCTATACTCTATTAATTGAAAAAGATTCATGAAGTATTTAAATTTTGTAATGAAAATAAACATAATGAAAAATTGGAATTTATGTTTACTATTCTCTTTTTTTAAACACAATCCTTAAAAAAAAATTCTTTTAACTTTAATCACGGAAAATCGTTTATAAACAAGTCATTCTCAATATCAGTCAAAAGTTTATTCAAAAACTCATTACTGGTAGCTGATAACGACTTTCCTGTTTGTTCTGATATGGGGAACTTTGTCGTGAAGTATAGTCGTATTATCTTTATTCTCTCTTTTATCCTCTGTATATTTACAGTGATTGTAATGTAATTGCTCAGATAGCTCTATCTATCTGATGGAGCCGTATTGACCCAAGAGACAGAACGTTGGCCTTTAATGAGGTGACCCCGGTTTGAATCCCAGCGATAGCTGGCGGAAACGAATTCCGCACCCAGTTCGCATCGACCACAGTGCTAGTGTAAAATGTCCCTAGCATTAAACGGATCATGGTATAGAGCAGGGGTTTCGTATTTTACTCCACTGCGCAGTTTATGTTCGTTACGTCGGTCTACTAAATTGATCCGAGCAGAGGCTTTCCCTTTTCTTGAATTTATTGGCTAGAATCCCCTTGCCGTTAGGCTAACTTTGGGAAATCTTCGTGGTTTCCTTCTCCATGTAATATAAATGTGGGTTAGTTTCATCAAAAAGTGCTCCAAATTTCTTGATCCAGGAGTTACTCTTTTTCCGAACTGGGTTCAGGATTACAAAGCTATGGAGTTAAATATTGGTAATAGTAAACTCAAAATTTGGTCGGCTGTTTAACAGTGGTTATAAAAATCTGTCTCATTGCTCTGGAATGTAAAGTGGGTGAACTTGCACATGCATTTTATTTTATTTTATAACCGTCGTTGAACAGCTAACCCATTTTTGGGTTTATGACTACGAATGTTCAACTCGGATCCATCGATTTCAGAGATTTCGGATGTCATGAAAAGATTTATTTCATTATACCACTTCTAAAATGTCACATTTCTTTGACTTTTAAATTAAATGGGGGTAATTTAATTGTGTATTTGTAATATTATCGACTGCTGAACATCAACTTAAAAATTGATTCACATTTTCCTGTGATTTTATATTTTACAGAAGTTTTGCTTGTAACAGCTGAGGTAGAAAGAAAATTTTTAAGGTTCAAACTTGTGACCTTCTCTACCTCGATCTGGAAAAATTCCGTCCTGCCATTTAGTCTGGTTTTTTCACCAGTTTCTCTTATGTGCATCGCTTTTAAAGAAGAGGTAGTTTCATAGGGACTACTTGGATGAGCGATCTCGCTTTTCAACCAAATGCTGCGTGGAGGAAGCGTGTTGTTGTTGTAGTTAGCTTACGTCGAACTAGAGCAGCACAATGGGCTATTGGCGACGGTCTGGGAAACATCCCTGAGGATGATCCGAAGACATGCCATCACAATTTTGATCCTCTGCAGAGGGGATGGCACCCCCACTTCGGTAGCTCGACGACCTGCATGTGAAGTCGAGCACTTTATTGCAGAACAGTTTAACGAAGACCAATGCCGCACACCCTCGGTCCCTACGCAGACTAATCCAAGTGGTCACTCATCCCCACACTGACCGCAGCCAGTGAAGCTTGACTTCGGTGATCTGCTGGGAACCGTGTCTTAACGATCAGTCCACTGCGGGACGGAAGCGTGTTTGAATCTCATCATAAACTTTGATGTATTTTTGTGATGCGCTACTCTAAATTTGTCCCTACATTGAACTGATCGTGAGAAGTGGCTCTTAGTGGATTCGCCAAGTTTAAGCATCATCTGTGGTCAGTGAGCTGGTGGGTCACAACTTTGATTAAGATCCGGAGCGACCAAGGACGCGTGGTATCGGTCTAAACCGTTTCATTGTCAACTGTTCAACTTCATGCGCAGGTTGTCGGACTACTAAAAACGGACGAACCTACTCCCTCCGCAGAGAATCAAAATTGTGATGGTATGTATTTGGATCACCTCAAGAGATCTTTTCCAGACTGTCGTCCCGCAGTGGACTGATCGTTAAGACACGGTTCCCAGCAGATCACCGAAGTCAAGCATCACTGGCTACGGTCAGTGTGCGGGTGGGTGACCACTTGGATCAGTCTGCGTNGGAGAATTTGTTTTTGTTCTTTGTTTGAGCGGAGTCTATTTGAACCATATGGAATAAAACCAGGAGGCATAAATGGAAGTTTTGAAATCATTTTAAATGGTTCTTTTTTAGGTACTACATAATGAGCCACTCGTATTTGCTGTCGCCATTTGTCTCCTTCTGTTACACACATATGACACATACGCTGATATGCCTCTGACATCTGAACGGCTGCTTCGTTTTTCACTCTAATAAAAGAAAACTCTGAGCTAGCATTTATTTCAAGAAGAGTTGGTTCATTATCAATCATAGTACAACCAAGAATTATTGTCTCACGTCGAATTTCATCAAGTTGTAGAATATTTGTCAAGGGCAACGCAACGCTTGCTTTTGGACCAACAATGATACGAACAAGAGCTGGTAAAGTAGTGACACGTAGCAAATTGGATAAAAGATACACATGATTTATTGTATGAGCTTCAGGGGTTGATATGCAATAAAATCTTCCTCGTGCGCTGTAAGGAAGAAATATAATTTCTCCTTTCTGGGTTAGGCATTTTAGATACATCATAAGGTCTGGGGTGATGGCATGTCTTCGGATCATCCTCCGGGATGTTTCCCAGACCGTCGCCAATACATTTGTGCAGCTCTAGTGCGACGTAAATTAACAACAACAACAACAACAATTGGGGCCGAGCGACGCTCTGTAAAGCGTGGAGGTAGCTGGTTCGAATCCCGCTATTATACTGGATGTATCTTCGTGCTGTCCTTCTCTGTATTATGCTATCTGTTCTTCTCTTTGACAAAGGTTTATAAGCCTAAATTGAGCACACAAACCTGCAAATGTATGCAATTCCAATAAACCAATAAATAAACTGAATTGTATTATCTGTCTTTCTACTTGACAAAGGCTTATTTACGTACATAGGTAACTAAACACACAAGACTGCATGCATGTGCACCAATAAATATATACTTATAGTTTCGAATGGAAAAAATCAAATCTATTTTCTCGTGAAAGGTGTTGGTGGTTTATTCTTTGACATTGTGTTTTTCGGCGTATGTAACAAGTGGACTTCATAAACTTTTTGATTGACAGTGACTTTTCTATATCTTTTATTTTGTCCCCGTCTCCTATAAGTTGATGAATGCTCAGGAAAATTTCCTCAGTTATGACTAAATGAGTAAGTTATTTATGTTTCATTATTTATATTTTATTGTTTTATAAAAATAGATTTTTCTCGCTGTCCGGCCCCAAGGAGCATACAGTGTGGTCAGCCTCTAAATAAATTATATGTCAGACAAAGATGCGAAGTTACAAAATCCGAAGAAAAAAAAGTTAGCAAATAATGAAATGTTTTAAAAAAAATGTTAAAGATCAAAAAAGAAATCCAAGTTTAGATCAACGTCTATTTATTTTAAGATCATTAAAATCTCCAGAATTTGATTACAGTCCAAAGTTATCAATTTGTTGTCCTCTGTGGTTATTTGAATTCTAATGTTGCTCATTTTTTGACAATTTCAATCACCGCGCTCTTAATTTTGTATCTGTTTAAAAAAAATGCAAAAATCACTACTTGGGTACAGTTCCTTGGGAAACTTTTCTCTCCGATGTCTTGGTAAAGTAGACATTTGTGAAATTATGTAGTACTCTAAATTTAGGTAAAGTTATTAAACAGACTTAAAAATTTATGACTTCTGTTTCATAAGCAACTTTATCGCAATTTTAATTAAATATTTAATACTCTTATAAACGAGAGAGCGAAAACGAGAACTACGCATTTTCAACAAATATTTCAACAGAGAAATTTTTTCATAATTTAGGTGTTTTTGATTTTTTCTAAAGCAAACGCTTGCATTTATTATTTATTTTTGTTATCCGTAAGCTTTATTTATATTCATAACTTATACTTGTCCTTATGCTTTATTTGAATTTGCACTGTTTCTTTAAATTCTTATGAGTTATGCTAATCCGAATATTTTAGTTGAACTCTTGTTTTATTTAAGCAGATCCGTATTTTTTATCTGAACTATTTGCATTATTAATTTAAATATGTTTGCAACTAAGTATCGGTTAATAAAATAATCATTTTATGCAACATGCTCAAAAAAAGAGAAATTTAAAGAAAATAATTTGTAATGGCATTTTAAAACTAATTTATCTTTAATTTATGTGGCATTTTCTAAATTAATTTTCACTTATTAAGAGACGGTTGAGTTACTTTATTCCGATCTGTCAAAGAATAAAAAATATCCGTTCGTATTAGTTTTTTTAAAAACATTTTAATGTTTTAAAAGTTAATACATTTTTATTCTGAAAAATGAATAGAAAATACCATTGTTTAAAGTTTGAACTCAATTTCTGATGTTTACAATTAAAACCTAATAATAAAAGTGAATGATTTAAAAATGGTTTACCTTTTGACTTAACTGACTATTAAAAACATTGATAAGCAAATTAAGTACCCCCCAATGTATTTGGATTTTAATTAAAATCTTAAGCCTTATCTAACTTCTGTCATTGAATACTTAGCATTCCCATTCATCACCATGGCAATCAGAAAGTATTTAATCACAGCCTTAATTCGCCCGCGTTAGCAATGATTAAACTCTACTTGTTAGAGAAGTTTGTTGTAAAAAGGAAAATGATACTGCACGGGACAGTGTTATTTCTTGGAACAGTTTTAACTTTTTTTAATGCCCTAAGTTATAATTAAAAGAAATAAATTTTTTAAATTTTATAGAAAATAAATAATAAATTCCTCAATCAATATATATTTTGTAAATATTTCTGTCATGCACTTCCAAATTAAATATTTATTTAAGTAACAAAAATTACAAGATGGTGAGCGACACTTGGCTCTCTCTCAATTCCTTCAGCTTTTAAAAAGTAAACAATCGTTTGATGGTCGACTTTTTAAACGATCCAGTTCGTTGTTTTCGCATGACGTCATTATTCTTTATTAAATCACAATTATTTTATTGATATTTAATAGCATTTACTCTAACTACAATTAGAAAGTCGAAATCTTAAGGAATAATCAAATAAAGTTAACGATTTTTACAAACTTAGGGAACTGAATCTGGCCTTCTTAAAACGCAAGATGTAAATTCTCGATTTCTAAATGTTTAATTTAGTTAAATTTGTTTTTTGATGCAAAAGTTACAATAAAAAATATAATCCCTGCAGAGTTGGAAAATAATTTGAAAAATTTGTTTATAAAGCATTTTAATTCAACTAAAAATCGTTTGCTTGTAAAAATGGGAGAAGAATAGAATATATTTTTTCTTCGCTTAGATGAAAACTGATTTAACTTTTTAGTATGTTTTTGAATGTCAGCATCAGAACATCTTAGAGCACACGCCAAGTCATGGTAGTCACCCATTTGTTTTGGAATTTTTGACTACGGAATGTTTCTTAAAACATGGTACTTAGCGTTTTTAAAAAGCCCTTAAAGGTGCTTTTTTCATGGCGTGTTTTTAAAGAAAGCTTAATTTTCACTTTTCAAAAATGAGATTTTTTTTTCTTTATCATGCCGATTTTCGCTGCTTATTATGCAAAAGCGTGGTTTTCAGTGTTTTATTCAACGTTTTCAGAATGCATTCATCCACAATCCATTTCGGCTTACCGTCAGTCCGTAACGCATGATAGCACCAATCATGTTACATATTTGATGTAATACTTGGGAGTTCGCATGATATACAGAACTGGATTTGGTGAGATTATTGCACTCTCATGTGCAACTCTGCTGCCTTTCCAATTTCGAGATATTCTCCATTTCGGGCTTCTTTTTCCACCCTTTAAAATCGAACCGAAAAATCTCTCTGATCTTTTTATGGTGCCTAATATAATCAAGAAAATAGTTCTTTGTCAGAAATTGGTTATTTTATCAAGTTAAGTCTTTGAAAATTATTTTGCATTTTGTTAATGTATTTCGTGCTTAACAAGTACTTTAAAGATAAAAAAAATTTATTGAGATATTTGGCTACACACCCTGTAAAACGCTTATTTCGAGTTATTTAATCCTAAACTTGTTAGATGACTGAATTTGAACATCCGCTCAATGAAAACTTAAATTTCAATAACCGGTATAAGCTAAAATAAATCAAATTAACGACTTAAAACGACTTTGTTTTCTTATTAAATATATTCAGCACTAGTAGTGTTGAAAAAAAAGTACAAAACCATTCGGCATTGGTACACTGTGTTGGCCCAGCATGAAAATCCGCCATACCATGTTGGGTTTGCTATGTTGGCCCAACATAAAAATCCATCATACCACGTTGGTTTGCTATGTTGGCCCAACATAAAAATCCGTCATACCAGGTTGGGTATGTTATGTTTGCCCAATTTAAAACTGGTGCCAATTCCTAAATTTGGATGTTAGGCAGATTTGATGGTCCCCATCAAGCTGTATGTTGATCTTTGATGGGAATTCAAGATGGTAGCTATCATATTTATGTTGGTCCATCAAAGGAAAACCATCAAGATTTTTTGCCTTGGGTATTACAGGTCACAAAAAATAAAAGGTCTACCGTAAAGGTAGTTATTTGCAGACTCCTTAATTTATAAAAAAAAAATTCACATTGGAATTTGCGAACTAGTATTTAACCGAGGAAAAACAAACGCTTTAAAATTCTTTTAAATCCCGGTAAAGGAAAATACATGTAATAAACAAGCTTGATTGAGAAGTAAACAGAGTGAAGTTTAAAGACCACTAATGGAATCACCTTCAAATTTCAATATCTAACTAAACATGTTTTGATGTTAAGCTGTAGAGAATGACAAATACAAACATCATTTGACTAAACATGTTTATATATGTCTTTCTACAGTAATTTGTCAGATTTCGATGGCATTTTTGTGTCTTCTACAGATAAGTTACAAAAAATGCGGAAACATTTCCAAATTCTTCCCACTCAAATACAAAGAAGAAAAGGGCAACCCTGGTAGTAAAATCATCATAACTAATTTATACTTAGTGGCTCTAGAACACATTCGATTTGTACATTTAAGCTTTATTCTCAATTAAACTGGTTTCTGATGACATTAATCTCACCTTTATTATTATTGACCTCAATAATGATTCGTGATACATTTCATTCTTACTCACTTACGTGTTTATGTGATTTACTAATGTTCATAGTTTTCCATTTTATAAAGTTTCTAATAATATATTAAAGTGTAGGTTCTGTACAATTCATTACACTGATATAAACTCACCCCTTTAAAACTTCCAAAACAAAGCTCTGTATTAAAACAGTTTAAATAAATATTCTATTTTTTAATATAAGGACGTTCTTTCATTATATATGTAATTTATGGAGCTTAGATTTGTCAAATAGATTAATATTAAGGGTCTACAACTGATGACGCATCTAGCCGGTAATGCATATAATACAGGGTGTTTCGTAAAAGCCGCCTTTAATATATATTTTTAGAATGCTTATAAATGCAAAAGACTGAAAACTGTACTTTAGAGGTCATAAAAAATATTTAAGAGAAGAAAAGCATAGTCGCTATGCGAGGAAGCAATAAATTCGCTGTAAAAAATATGACAAAATATTAGTGAAGGTGATTGCAAGTAACATCATATCCCCTCTTGAAAGGGAGAGAAAAAGATTAAGAGAAGTTGAAAGACAATTATTACGAATACCTTCAAGTAACGAAAAGCAGACACAGGTTTTGCATTTTCAAATAGTTATAAGCATTTCTTAATTGTGTTTTCCCAGGCTTTCATGACTATTTTACTTATTCCTGGCAAAACTAATTTCAATAACAACTATCAATTTCCTACACTCAATTGTTTATTTTTTTTTACATTTCTTTTCTGACAAAGATTCAAAAAACATAAACAATAAGGGTGGTCTTCATAAAACACCTTGTACAAGTTCTTTTTAACCTTTATTATAACCTTATCATTAAACGCTTCTTACGGCTGAATAATTCATCGACAAGAAAGGACAGTTTCTTTGAAGTTCATTGTCAATTTATAGCAAAGGAAAAAAGAAGCGTTTTGTCGAATATTTTATTAATGCTCGAACAAACACGCTTTTTTTTGTTGCTAAAGTGTGGCTTTAAAAAATGACGTCACGTTTTTTTCTTACAAATCTTATTTCTCTGTTCTTTTTGTTTCTTCAAGCTTGTAATTTTACTTCGAAAAAAAATCCTTAAGCTGATGGG